TTTAGAAATTATCTAAGGCTAAGCCAACCCCTCCATTTGCCAGATGAGAAAACTAAGTCCACAACCACCTCTCCATCACCTCCTACTCTCAGCAGCCCAGATGCCAGGCTCCAGCCCGGGCACTGCTAGGCAGCACCCGTGGCCCAGCTCCGTTTCAAGTAAAGAACTGCTGTAATTGACTAAATGACCCCTTTCCTGAAAGTGACTTGATGAAGATGAGTAAAGTGAGAAAACATAGCACCTGAATTGACATTGTGCAAACTTAAATTATATACTTCTCACTTGTGTGCAAGGTTTTTGGAGGAGTTTCTGTTTTTCATGAACACTAGGCAATCTATTTTGACTTTGGTTACTAAGCATCTGTAAAATTGAGGACATATTGTTGCATTCATTATTACTTCAATGTACATTGAACACCAGGACAAAGAAAAAAGGAAAAAAAGATTTGTCGAATGGCCACTTGATTATTGTGTTTTCAACAAGCCATGGATGTTACATTGAGGCCTTCTGACTTGCTGGTGGCACAGCTTTGAGCCCGTTCTGTTGTAGGTGGTAACTGATCATATTTCACTGTAAAATGAAAGATGAGACTGAAAAAAATCTAGTTATAAAGCCACTGTCTAAGAGGAAGCCAAGACAGAGATGCAGTAAGCTAGTTTCCAAGAAATGAAATAAAGAGCAGGAAAGATCATGCTGTGGCCCAGGCTTAAAGAATTCATGAAGTGCAGCCTGAGCTCTGTCAGTTATCTGGTCATTTCAGCCAGCTTTTCCTCACTACCTTGCCCAGGTGACTGCTGCTGACCCTTCTCAGGTGAGTAGATTAACTGATGACAGCAATATGCTGGACATCCTCCGTGCAAGGAGGGAGTCTCCCCTTCCTTTCCTTTGGTCCAGAGCAGGCAGCTGAGCTGGAGCATACACTTGCTCTCCATGGTGCACGTTTTGGAAACTGAGGACCCACCTGTCTGACCCAGGCCCCGAAATTCCCGCAACTCTGCTCTCCATTCTTTCTGATCTCAAGAAATATGAGACTGAGAAGCAGCTACTGACCTGCCCCTGTCTGCCAGCTGCCTACTGCTGGGGGTCTACCCACCTGCAGGAGGTGACCCTGGAGGAAGTGAGATTTGAAGGATGGACGGGTTTTCTGCAGATCATCACCTGCACAATGGGGAGGGTGTTCCAGAATGTGAGGGACTTGTTTTGCATCTCAGGCAGGCAGAGAGAGTGGATCCACTTCAAACCCAAAGAGGTGATCCCACCCCCTCTGCTTCAAAGTAGCAGGGAGGAAAAGAGTGGGCTCTTTTGTATAAAACTGGGACCCCACTTCCTGGTTAGAGTCCCAACTCTGCTGCTTATCAGCTCTGTGCCTTGAGGCAACTACCTTCACATCTCTGGGCCTCAGTTGCCTTGTGTGGGAACTGAGGACAATAACAACTAACATTTATTGACTGCTTGCTATGTGCCAAGCCCGGTTCAGAACCCTTTACTCATATTTATTGACATACTCCTCATCATGTTCCCAGGAGGTAGACATTATTAATGTCCCCATTTTACAGATGAAAAAACTGAGTCACACAGCCAGGAAATGGTGGAGGCAGCATTCAAACCCCAATAGTCTGGCTCCATTATCCACACTCTTAGCTGCTCAGTAGGGTGGTAAACAATGTTGAGAGACTTAAATGAGTTAATCATGTTGAGTGCTCTGAGCACGCGGTGCCGGCCACCTGGGAAGTGCTGGATAAATGTGAGCTGCCACTATGACTCTGGTTCCACTCTCACTTGGGCTGGTGATGAGGACACTGAAGTGGAAGAGGACAAAGGACTAGACATGGGACAGCAGGAAACAGCTAGGAAGATTTGGGATGACGGGCTCTTCCTCTCCCTGACAGTCGCCTTCTCCCCCCAGGCAGCAGGGAGGATGTTATTGGTATCCAAGAACACACAATTTTATCTCTGTATAACATTCCACAAAGAATTTCTGTGCTCACTTTGGGCCAGGTGATCTGTGATCCCATCCCCATGCATTTGAAGCTCTGAGCACAGGCAGAAAAATCAAATTCCTCACCCCAGATTGCCCCAACAGGCTCTTCCTCTCTGTTTCAGTTTCCTGACTAAGAGACACCCCTTTTCTCCAGGGGACTGACACCGGGGTTCTTCCCCCTGTGTTTGCTGCATATCTCCCATCTTCAGACCCATTTCCTGCCCTTCTCTGCCTGTTCTGTGCACCAGGAGGCTAGCCTCTATGGACTGTTCACACCGACTCCCTTGCCAGCGGGCTTCTGGTTGGCGTTGGTCAACGGGAAGAAGCAGCAGGAAGTGAGAAGGCAGGAGGAAAGAGGTCAGAGGATTTCTTCCCGGCTTCACTGGTGTATGACAGAGCTGTGACCCTTCACCACTGCAGTTTCCACTGAGGAGCCCTTCTCCACAACACCTGCCCCTGGGCTCTGGTGACTATTTCCTCCTTTTGTTTCTTTGGCCCAGGGGAGCTTGTGGCTCCCCGTCGTTCGTGGTGTCTGGGTGCCTTGTCATCTTTGTTTGCTCCCCTACCCCATTTCACACCACCATAAAGTGTGTCTTAATTCGTGCTCTGCATTTCTACCATCTGGTTGAACTCAGGCCCCTGCCAGGACCATGGCTGATTCACCTATACACGTGAGGATCACTTCACCCACGAGGCCCAGAGGTAGAGCTGCATCTGTTCTATTAATTATTGTTATAAAAAGTTAATCTGGTTGAAAATGTTGAGTAGTACATTTTTAATGTTGATTAACACTAAAATTGGAAGTGATAGATTAGCATGAGAAAGAAACAAATCTCACATATTCTCAACACACAGAGATAAGCACTATTTTACCATCACATTTTTTCTTACCACAAAGGGATCATCTAACATTGTTTACTAGCTTAAATATATTATGAATAATTTTTTTCATCAATAAATATACTTCAACACTAATGGATTTACTTCTAATATCTCTAAGTCAAAATTCCTAATGGCTGTATAGTATTCCATCCAGGCCTATATCATAGTTTCATCAGTCTTCTATTAACGAATATTCAGGTAGGTGTCAATTATTCCTTATTATAAATACTGCTGCAATAAATGTTGTACAATATAAAATACTTGAAAATACAACACAATAAACTCAGTCTTCCTAAAACAAAAGCCGCACATATGCCACAGCAGCAGGGTCACCTCTTCTCAAGAGATAATAATATCTGCCTTCCCTGCCTCCCATTGATGTTGTGAGGTTCAACCAAGAAAATGTATATGTAAGTTCTTTAGAAACTGTAAAGTGTATGGGGTGGTTATTATAGTATGATCTGATTCTTTCACAACAACCCTGCAAGGCAAGCATGGTGGATATATCCTCGAGGCACATTGTACTGACAAATTTGCCAGAGATAAAGAACTGAAGACTTACTTTTAGGCTTTATATATTTATTTCTCTTTAGCACAACAAAGAATTGTGTGTAAGAAAAGCAGCCTTCCTGTACAAAAGTAAACTACCAGCTGGCAGTACATTCGATCTGTTGTGGTGCACGTTAACTCATTGTGTCCCTTCCAGAGGACCATTTCAAACAATGGAAGGAATTCTAGTTGTCTGAGTGATCCCTGGGGCTCTGACGGCCCTCCGCCAATATTGGTTCCTCCAACTTCTATAGCTGATTAGTCATAATGACTACTTTCCGGTTCTTTCCCGATAGTCTCTTCTAAAAAGCACTTTAGATAACTCTGCTTGATTAAAAAAATTGAGCAGTAGTTTAGTGTTTTTTTGAGTGGGAACTTTTATGTCAAGTGTAGAAGCTACGTTGACATCTCACATAAAAACCATCCCATCACTCAGAAGAAGGCACTCCATTTTGGATGAATTCTTGATTTACCTTCTATGAATCTAAGTTCCTAGATATTCTCAGATCTTATTAAGGCAATATTATTAAAATGTCAGAACACGGTTTCCTGGAGCGAGAGTCATACATAGTTTTCAATTCTTAATGAAAGGTGCCAGACAAGGTTTTAAAATCTGACTTGAGTCATGCTTAACTCAAGTCATTAATTAACAAATAATGCTATTTGTTAACTAGTGTGAAAAGAAAAGGTTTCTATGCATTAAAGTGCTTATGTTCTACAAGGTAAACGATGTTCTGGGGCATGATATTCTATATGATGGCTTCTTTTCTGTTGCGGTTTGGTTTTTCCACAAATCTTCAACAAAGGGGACATAACCCTACTTTATAATGTAAAGAAGGTCTTTACTTTAAATTCTATGAATTAAGAAAAGGCCCAAAGACTTCTCTCTGACTCTTTTCTCAGTGACTCGATCATGTTTCTCTCTCGTGGGAAGGGCAGAAAGAGGGAGCAGAGCATGGTGTTTACATACCAGATGTAACGCGCCTCAACAGCACAAGAGGCCCAGGGCTTGTTTTCCGTGTGAGTCAAGGAAGCACCTGCCACCTAGTCAGACAACCTGATCCCGGGCCTTGGCAAGGAAAGGTGAGCCTGGTCTGCACAGGGACACTGAAATTGCCTTTGTTTCCTTCCTTCCTAATTTTATGTGTAGATGTTCCACTGTTTCCATGGATTTATTCATTTCCATCACCACTACTGCCCCCATTTTTTTACAGGTGTGTATTCAACCAAAGAAAATCAGTAAGAAAAACAATTATGATAGTGAAAAAAAAAGACTCAAAATTGCCATATGTGAGACCCATGGAAGTCCCTGATTAATTTTCATTTTCACCGTTTAGTCAGAACTTGGCCTGACTCAGTAACTGTGAACAAGTGTGGTCGTGGACTTGATTTCCTTGCTGTTTTAGAAAAAATGAATCAGCCCAAGTTTCTTTCTTACCGTGATAGGTTCCTGAAAGGCAAGAACTGTGCAAATGGCCCCAATACCACAGCAGCAGCAATTTGTCACACGGTAATTCTCACAATGGGAATTTCAATAGATTTTAGAGAGCAGCCAGCTAACATTGAAAGTATTCGTTGTAGACAAAACTGTCCATTCCTTTGTTCGTATCTCCCTTGTCTTTTATTGGATCCATATTCTCCTACCCATTTTGGATACTCAAAATATTGTTCTGAAAAAAATAATCAATTAGTAAATAGTTACAAAGGGTAGGACACTCAAGGAGTCTAGTTGAAAAAAGTAAGTACCAGCATGATAACTGTACAAAAAATGCCTGTGGAAATCCCAAAATGGGGAATCACTGTGTGTCGAGAATGATTAGGAAAGACTCCATACAGGAGCAGAGAGGTGAGCTGAGCCTTAGACAGGTAAGAAAGTTGGATGGGGATGAGCAAGGTGGGCACGAAGAGGAAAGACATGGCATTCACGGAGTACAAGTTGACAGAGGTGAGGAGGTAAGTTTGAACAGGTGTGTTATGGAAATGGTGAATCTACTAGGAAGGAGTTTTCACAGACGGGCAATGGCACCTAAGGGTGACATGTCACTAGGAACCAGGTAGTTCATTGAAAACCTAAGATTTAGACTTGATCCTACATGCGATAGAAAGTCACTGAACATTTAGGGGCAGGAGAGTGGCATGGAGAAAGATTTCTTTAAAGATGATTAACATGACACTAATGACCAAAATGGGTGTCAGGAGGCTCCTGACAGTCCAGCTGGGAGGTGGTGAGGCCTAGGAGAGGGTGGTGGCTGTGGCAGTGGAGAGAGTAGGAGTGGATGATCAACACTGGCCAAGAAGACTTGACAGAACTCTGGGAGCTGCCCAGGGTCCTGTCAGGAAACACCTCGTGGATGAAGATTTTCTCTTCCTCTAAAAATTCCCCCATTTTGTTCCTCTACTTTGCCCTTGACAGTTGATCAACTATGCTGTGCTAAGATATTAAGGACAGACAATGACTTAAAATAGGAGCAAGAAAACACAAAATTGCACAGTGATGAGAAATATTAAGCAGGCACACTATAAGAAATAGCTTCTCATAGAATTCCTTCAAAATCCTTTAAAACTAATACAACAGTTTTCAACAGTAAGAAACCAAAAAAATTGGATAGGGCTGGGGGAGTTACACAGAGGCCATTTACTCCAAATTTTTTCTCAAATTGCAGCGTTTGGGTGGTGGGTGATTGCTGTGACACCGAGAGAAGCCAAGTTAGCTTGTATTAAACATCATTTTTCTGCTTTCCAAATTACCTCGATTGCTCAGGGTCATCGCCCTCCACACATCTGGACTCCAGGAATGAGTCATTTAAAGAGGTGCCCCGAAACAGAAGTTTCTGTTCTCTTCCGTTCCCCTAGCGTGTGTTCTGTGCTTGGACGGCCTGCTAAACAAATTAGAGAAGAAAAGAGGAGTACCTAAGCAGTCATGCAGATTTCCACAGGTAACAGGGTCTGAAAGACATCAACCTGGCCAAAATGACCTCAGGCATCTACTGAAGAGAAGAACCTTGCTTCTAACCTTGCTTCTGCAAACTTCCATGTCTCCTTCCATGACAGGCATCAGTGGTGTAACAATTAGGTGTGGTGGGTGGGCATTTCTGTGGGCTGCCAGCCTATTTTAACTTCCAACTGTGGGAGTGAGCTTTAACTCTGTGCTAAAATTAGGGGAATCCAGCAACTCCTGTGGTTATTTCAATCAGTTCCCACTTATTGAGTAGCAGCAGCACAGTTAAGTAATAACATGGTAACCTTGCCAAGACATAAATGAAACGCTGAGTGTTGCCCAGTTGGATCTGAAATCGCTTCAATGATCTAAGTGGAGAGCCAGACCAACAAAAGGGCTGCTGGCAGCTCTAGGGGCGGGGGAATTGGGGACATCGAGTAGAATTCCCAGAGCAGCTCCTCTGACTCTTGGGGAATATTTAAGGGAGTGGGAAGCGATTGGCCTAGCATTCCAAATTTCCCTAAAGAAATGCCAAGAATCCCAGTGGTCAGGAAGCCTTGGTCTGATCTCCCCTCTCAGAGACGACACACTGGCTCTGTCAGAACAGCCCGCTGCCAGAGCAGGGCATCCAATGAGACCTTGGCCCTGGTGCTTGAGTTTACACCATAGTAATGAATGCAATAATGATTTAGATAAGCAGCTTCTTATGGCTGCCCTGTGCAGAGTGTTGTTCTGACTGGCCCTACTTTGAGAGGAGGATTTTTACTAGCTGAGAAAGAGGCCATGATGCCAGCTCCCAGTTCAGACCAGGCAGCCAAAGTAAGGAGAAGATGAAAAGAAGGAGGAGGGTAGGACCAGAATCCTTGAAGAAAGGTTCTATCATGGATGTTTACAGCACCAAGGGGCTGATAACCTCTCAACCATCCCCACTGGGTTGGGGTTAAAGTTGGGGGCAGAGTGAGGAGGGAGACCTGAGGATACAAACGTCATTGATAACCACAGATCCATCACCCAAGTTTGTGGATGAAGTAGGACTTTTCATTTCATCATCCCCACCCTTCCACCTGTGTTGACCATTTTCCTCTGGATGGTTAGGCTGAGCTAAGTTCAAGTCCGGCCCACACTCAACGGGTAGGGTTACACAAAGGCAGGAATACCAGAAGGCAGGACCATGGCGGCCATCACAGAAGTCTGCCTACCACTCATGCATTAGCATTTAGCCCATCTGAGAAACAGAATGAGCAACAGGAAAGAAAGAGAAAGGAAATCAGCCTATTGTGCGACAGGTCTTACAGTGGTCGTCAACCTTGGCTGCACTTCAGAATTATCTAGGGAGCTTCTAGAAAATACCGATACCTGGACCCTACCCCAGATATTCTAATTTAATTGGTTACATTAAACGAATTAAATTGGGGCCTACGTCTCAGAATTTTTAAATCTCCCCGTGTGATTCCAATGTGCAGCAGGATTGGCAAACACTGATTTGGTCTTTCCAACAAAGGCTAGGTAAGGGAGAATACTGAAGGTTTTACTTCAGACTGCATGGGCAGAAATGCTGGGAGTGTCCGAGTGGAAAGGCTCATTAAAAGTCACCAGACCAGTGCCCCTCGTCCCCTACCTGAGGGTTGACTCACCTCCACACCATCCCAACAAGGAGTGGTGCCTTGGCCTCTAGAAACCCCTTCTCCCCCGATACACACACGAGGCCAGGCAGCTCACAATGGGACACAGCTGACTGCTTGAAGGTCACTTTATATTGAGCTGATTTCAATGATCTCTTCTATTCTTATTCCTATCCTTTGAGTTTTAGTAGAAAGGCACAAAGAAAATTCCACATACTGTTGCAAAAAAAAAAAAATTTGAGCACCAGCTGTATTATTGGATCGAAGGTTTGGTCCTATTATACTTTCCAACAGTGAGGAAGCCTGCTCAGGTTGGAGTGGCAGGTCTCAGCAGCTCTGAAGCTAATCTGTCCTTTCTCAGCCCCTAGAAAGCCTGTCCTATGTTCCATCCCCCATACACCACCGCATCTTTCAGATTCTAACAGAACCAAGGAGTTAAGAGCTTAATGTGTTACTTTGCCTTTTGTTTTAACAATTGCGTTCACTGCCTTATCCTGAAATTTGGGCTCTGCAGAAAAGTTAGTAGCTTTTGTTTCATTAATTAATTAATTAATGTTTTCATTAAACATATCTTTATTAAAAGCCTATTCCGTGCCAGGCAGTGCCAGGTTCCAGGAGATATAACAGTGGGGCAAAGGAAGCCACTGTTCCGCCCTCATGGGAGCCTGCACTAAATAATCATACAAACATGTCAAATCACAACTGTGGTCAGTGGTGTGTGAGTGAGCACATCCTGGGGCCCCACTTGGTGTGGGTGTTAGGGAAGTGAGGCTTGAGTGAAGACAGGAAGGGAGAAGGAGAGTTAGCTGTGGGAAGGGTGGGGGCCTAGAGAGTGGTCCAGACAGAGGAAGCAGCATGTGCAAAGGTCCTGGGTGGGGAGAGAATACAGGTTTTGGAGGAATGGAAAGAGTTGTGTGGCTGAGGCCCAGGGCAAGGGGGAGCGGGCATGGCTGGGGGGGGCGGGTAGAGGCCATGTTAAAACGTGTTATCATTATCACAAGAACAACAGAAGGCCCTCACAATGTGTTTACCAGTCGAGGGCCAATGTAAGGATGTCAGAAAGAGCCTCCAAAGTAGGTACCCTCCTACCCCCAATTCATACCATTACTCTGCGTTTGGATTTTGAACATGCAAAGCTCCTCTTAAAAACTACAATATCCTTTTTAAATATCCAAAGGCCTCTATCATTCATTCATTGATTTATTCATTCTACAACTATTCCTGGGCGCCTGCTATGCACAGGGCACTGCCCCTTGGCCACTGCCCATATAGAGCTTACCCCCAGGGGACATAGACAGATAAGGAACAACAGCTGAGCTGCCAGGCCGCTCCCCTGCCCCCATCCTCCCAGTGCCTCCCTGCACCCAACCATCCTCAAACTGACATTGGTGTGAGCGAAGCTGAGACTCACAAAGTAAGACAATAGTGAACAAGACCAAGTCCCCGCTCCTACCAGGCCGACAGCCTAGTGATGGGACAGGTAACACAAAACAAATAAATATGTATATAAACACAAATCAGGTCATTATAAATGCTATGAAAAATAAATCAAGTGACAGGAATACGGAATGACGAAGGGCTTGCTATTTTATATACAGCAGTTAAAGAAAGTTTCTGATTAAGTGACATTTGAGCAGAGAGCACACTAGGAAGCTATATGGAGGCAGAGTATTCCAGGGAGCTGGCATAGCAAGTGCAAATATCCTGAAGTAGAAGCATGTTGTCCTGTTCCAGGAACACAGGAAAGTCAGTATAGCTGGAGGGGACAGCAAGGGGAGATTGCCCCTCGGGAGTAGAGGGTTATGGTGTCAGTAAGGAGTTTGGACGCTATGTTGCAATGGGAAGTCAGCATCTGTAATAAAGCCTTGCACAAGGTGGTTGAAAATAAATAAATGGGAGAAAATAAATCAGGGTAAGGGGACGGAGAGACACTGGAAGGGTGGGGAGACTGTTTAAAACAAGTGGTGAGAGAAGTTCTCTCTGAGGAAGTGACTTCAGGGCTGAGTCTTGAACTATCTGAAGCAGCAATCATGCAGCTTTCTGGGAGAAGCCAGTTCCAGGCAGAGAAAATAGCACAGAAGTGGGAACACGCTTGACGTATTCCAGAGAG